TTACCCAAAACTTGCTCTGTGTTGGTGGGTTTCGTATTTTTCTTTCCTACCTATCGATAATGTTCAGAATAATGTTCAGAATAAGTCTACAGCAAAATTGAACGTGCAGTATAGTAGGCAAGAACTACGAGTGTCAAGCTATTTATCATGAGAAATGATACTATGTAATGATAGGATTGCATCAAATATAAGGGTAAAATGAGAAAGAAGGGTGACTTCATTGTACTTAAACTGAACTGACACAATCACATTTCAAAGTTGTAGTTTGTGTATGAAAGCAGGGGAAGCAAAGGAGATCTAAACTGAGGATGATTTGTTCAATGGATCAGTATCAATTATCAATATATGCTGATGGAGTATTGTCGTCTTGATAGGTCATATACCTACTGCAGGAATTTGAAACTGCCTCGTGTATCATTTTTTCCTAGATTCTTGCATGACAGTACTTTACATTTGCTTTGATGCATCGTTAAAGTGGTTTTTGGTGCGAGGTAATTCGTTTGTATCTTGAAATGGGTAAGAGAATGAGCCTCAAGAAAATGAAGTTGCTTCTGTCGCCCATCTATTCTGTTCTACAGGCATTTTGATTTCACAATGTATATGAGCTTGGGGTGTACTTTACCAGCTCTAACTAGGAAAGAGTTCTTTCTCACATGCCACATGGATTGATAACAGTTGAGGTTATCACTTACAAGTAGATGGATTTCGAGTTGCATTGAACAATTAATTTTAATAGAGGGGAGACTTTAGTAAACATTTGTAATTTGCTCTGAACTGCCTATTTCTGACGTAGGTATTCAACTAGAACTACTTGTATAATACCAGCACTGCAGCCTAAACTGAATGTATTGAAGCTCTCTGAAGATATAACAACTTCCGACAGCTTGCACGCATCTACTGCCAATACTTTCCATTTTCTCACCAAGAACCATTTGCACGCTCTCTGAAACTATATCGAGATGACCTACTTCTGAAATACTGTATGAGTGTTATCAATCCTCTTTTTTGATTAACGATTTCACATGACAGTAGCATAATGCGCTCTATACACGACAGATGGACAAGGGATTCATAGTCTCCAGTCTATCCCTCGATGAGTGAGTAACACCCAATTGTTGCAATTGATTTTGCAGTCGAATACTACTCTACTAATGACTTGATTCCGTGACTTTCTTGATTGGATCTGATGATTATCCCTATATTGTGTAAATGAAAATGCAGAATGCGAACGAGATATGATACTAAGTGCCCTCCAATCAAAAGCAAGTAGATCGTACAATGGCTTTGAATGAAACCCTTGGCCTACATCTGTAGAGTTGGTTCTTAAATAGCTTCATCGTCTCCCTCAAGCAGAAAGAAACAGAGTGATTCTATCTTTAAATGTTCGTAAGGACGAAACAAAAACACTATTCCAGAAGGTGGAGTACACGTGAAAAAATCTGAGAGGAGAGGAAAAGCTGTGAAGTCTTCATAGCATAGTCAGTTCATGAACAAGATTGATGATGTGATCTTTGACGGAATGTAGCTTAATATTCGAAGAATGATGGACTGCACGTAGATTACCAGTCGCAGTTGTCAATGTGGTTGGAACTACTGACGGCGCTTGACTAAGTCAAGACGATACTGGAGAAAATTGATGATGGGCTCTCGGATGGTGATCAAGAAAAGATCTTCACATGGAAGTTTGCATGTACTACATAGTATTAATCCATCTGTAAATACTTCCTTCCTACCAAAGAGACCATCACAATGACACTTTTCCAATTACTGTACAAGCCATCTGCTAGGTCTATACATACAAGTCACTGAGACTCTCTAAATCCAACAAGATACTTGCTACAAAGTGAAATTATGTATCTTTTATTATACCTTCCGATGTCATCACAGACTACACGAAGTTGTCAACTCACTTTGAATGCTTGCCTTATTGTGCAGCGCTGCAGGAGCTGCTAATATTCTGCTCAAATGACTTTATCGAAGATGCCATATTTTTGGACATGACAATGGTGATATACTCAGTAATGGCTCTCAGTACAAGGTGAGGGATGGTCGAACAGAATCCACTCAGCCAGAAGATGAGGGAGTTAAATGAGTTGGGACTTTTGACATGATACTTTTCATATGCCAGCTGTTGGAGGCAATCTAGTGGACCAGGTTTGAGAAAGGATGAAAAATTCCAGCGCTTCTCGGGCAAAGTCGGAAGCTACCGAGGAAGAACTTGTTAGTACAAGCTCTCGCTGCAGATTCCACAAGAACATTAGTTTGAAGAAAATCTTGGTGGTATGCGGATGAGAAAGAATTCAATTTTTATAGTACATCAGAAAGAAGCTCATCCGTCATTCCTTCCAAGAATAGAATTTAGTCTTCTGGAAAGAGGATAGTACAGATACATGACAAGAGCTCCTTGTAAACAAGCTGCAATCTTGCTGACAAGGTGTTATCACATACAATCTTTCCTACGCATGCGGTGAGGACAACTCCTCCATGGGTTGAGTCTGAAAGGTTCTTTGCAGCAACGGAGTTAATGGATACATCAGGTTTAAGGACGATTCCCGACTCTCTCTTCTTTATCTTAACTTATTCAGCGATAGCAACAGGCAATAATACCTTGCTATTACTAGGGAATCTTCAGCACAGTAGTAGATGGTTACTTCATACTCCTCGATCTTGATAAGTCCCTGAACAATTATCTCCATCTCCAAGAGCAACAACACCAAGATTCGCACCAGCGTTAGCAATAAGCTGTTGAAGCATCTCGTCACGAAGCTTCATCTTTTTTACATTATATTATCCGATTTCAGCAGAGCGAGCAATTCTTTATTGAATCTTACGATCCTTTTCCTTCTTTGCGAATTCTTCTTGGATACTGAGCTTTGCCTTGTGAACCAGAGTCTGCTTTTCGATGTTGAGTCATGTTCGGTCGTCTCATGTGCTTCCTGCAATGTTTAAGTAGCACATTGAAGATGAGTGTTGTATTTCTTTTGATGTAAAAGGATTGGGTCGAAATAGAATGAGCGACATGAACATGAAAGAAAAAAAATATGTGCAGCACAGCTTTTGCATACAATGGACATGGAGGATGGGATATACATAAATTGGTAAGGTTCCCTGTGCCTTCATCGACGATGCTGAAAAGCTTGAGGAAATTTTTATTGCTGAAAAATTGGTTAGAACAAGGCCTAAAAGTGAAAGGTAATAAGAATGAAGTAACTGAAAGTTGCAGAAGATCAGTTCGCATTCGAACTTTCGTAATGATCCAATTCTTTAACGAACTTTTCAAGACTTGTAAGCACTTGGTCTCCAGTGATTCTACTAGTAAACTTTGTCTCTGACAGTCTTCAATATCATTCTTCGTGTGGGGAAAAACATGACATACTGAACTCATCATCGGCTACATGTTGTTTAGGAGGCAGTAGAAACCGAAGCTATGGCCATTGTGATCTGATCATCCTTACAAAGGTAAGATCACTTCGTAACCTATGCCCACTTCATTGTGTTCGTTTTCGCACATTCATTTTAATCTGCTTCAATAGTCAACTTTGGTCTTTGTCTTGACAATTCACTATTGAAATTCACGCCCAATCTTCAAAATGTCTTTTCTTTTTACTACTAACCTATCACAACTCAAAATGTTTATTTGGTTGAACCTTGCAAACCAATGATGGACAGTAACATTGAGCTTGCATCTCCAAGTTTTCTTTCTCTATCCACTACTAACAATCCAAAATATGCTTGCTTCATCGGTAAATGCGCTGTCTTCTCCGTTTTCTAACAAACCTGGCGAACTATGTTAGAAACAGTTCTCATCAACCTGGCGAACAATAGACGTCCAAGCCCCAGGAATGAATAATGAAGCCATGTTTTAACAATTACCCCAGATTCTCAATCAGCTCTTTACTCATTCAATCGAAACGTTGGCCGCCTCAATATTACATTGTGAGGGTTTTTCATTGTAATAGGGATCATATATCATTCAATGCTGAAAGTGTGTATTCAGTCCCAACAAAGTAAAGTAGAAATTATGAATATGCTGCCAAGCTTCTGTCAGTTAAAATTTAAGTATTGAAATGGCTGGAAAGTGAAGAGGGTTCTCTGACCTTTCCAAATAGGAAGTGGTCTGGTTTGGTGAAGGACGCTTATCTTATCTTCCATCACCAGAAAATAAGTATAATACATATAGCATGGACTGCAAATGTGAAAAACTGTTGAAATCTCAATAGCTGCTGAACCAAATCCTTGTTTGATATTACTCTGCTTCCATAAGAACTTACTGTAAAATCTCTTTTCTTTCGAAATTAGAGCATCTCCTATGTGAAGGGAATAGGGTTGTTTGAATATCTCAAGTTCTCGGTCTATGCAAGTCGGAGTTGAGTACCTTTGTAAGATTATTTTGTATTATTTTTTTGCATCGTAGGTAGCACGGAGACACAGTAGGCTCTAATTTCCATACCATTAGGTATACGTAAAAGCATGAATGATTGTTCGAAAAATGAGACATTTGGAGAGAAAAATAAGAAGATGCGACTCGACTTGATGACCTGCCTTAACTTTATCTTCATGAAAATCTTGCCAGTACGATCATGGTAATGTTTCAAAGCAAACGAGAATGTCATTGGTCGCAAGAATGATTAGGGGTGGTGTGTTAATAACAGCGCATTTCTCTGCATAGAAGAAGTTCAAAAGATGAAACTAAAACATATGAATCATAGCATTTTAAAAAAGAAAAACACGTTTCCAGTAATATAATTAAAATAAAATAATACAAATTGGATAAGCAAAAAGAATAGAGGAGGCAAAAGGTCAAAATCATTGGAGAAAACAACTTAGCCATCACATGGCGTCATACCTACGCTGAACTTGCCTTGTCCATAGAAATCAAAAGAAGCATAATAGTACTTATTTCCTGGCTGCCTAGGTACCATACCATGAACATTCTTTGTTTGTGTGATGCAAAAGCTGTAGTTACAAGCTTTGTAAAAGTGAAGTGCAAAAAGTTATTGTGCGGAATGCGTGGATCGAACACGCGACCTCCGGATTATGAGACCGACGCTCTACCTACTGAGCTAACTCCGCTTGTTGAAAATGGAGACAGCTAAAACAAAATATAATCGCTATTATAGCTGGACTGCTTCGTTCGCCACTCGCTCTTTTATGAAAACATCTTCAATATTTTCTACAATACTACTACACTATTGTTTTACAAACTACTACGCAATTCCAATTCTATCTATTTCACCAAAAACGCCATGGGATTGACAGCAGCACTTATCGGAGGATTCTCTGGAACCTCAATCCATATGATGACTAATGCTATGAGAAAGGTTCCTCTGAGCCGAAGTAAGTAATTCACCTTCACCGTACCATAAGGCTTGTGTCAACTATAACGTTCAGTGCTACCTTTTGATGAAGTTTTTGTCACGAAAAAATAAATTGGAACGTCTCGTTCATTTCGTTAGAAGAAATTGCGTTTTTCTTTATATAGAGTTGCTGCTTTCCAGCATGACCACATTCAACCGTCTTCCTAATCTACACAACGCTCACATACACTTCCTTCCTTCTTTAGGCCCATGGATGCACGTTGGAGGTTTCTTTTTTGGAGCATATGTAGGGAATAAATATGTGCAGATTGAAAAATCTTTGGTTGAGGATATCAACCAAATTCGTGCAGATAGAGGTATGCCACCTATGGTTGGAACAAATGCATGGATCCGTTATTCATCGGAAGAGTAACTTCTGAATAGGAATGTCGTGGGAAAGGTTATGTAAGGTACACTGGAATAGAAATGTTTTCAAATGAATTTTTCATTTGCAAAACTTTCAACAAAATGAAAAAAAGCAAAATTGAAAAAGAAGAAACTTATTTGCGGGTCATCCAAAATGGAAGTTTAAGCTTGTTTATTTCAATACAATAATTTAAAAAAATTAAAATCTAGTAATAAAATAGAGATTTTATAATTATAAAATCTGCAGCCTGATCCTAAGATGGTTTCTGCAATCTGCGAACAGAGTTTTGAAATGTCGGAGTAAAGATTTTATTTAGATATCTTTAGAACAACAAACTAGAAATGGATACTTTCAGCTGATTCCTTCATCAATACTTAATAAATGAATGACCCGAGTTTGCATATGAATATAATTGGTGTAATCTACGGATTATTACTGACGGCATCATCAAAACAAAATCATAAACCTTGTCTTATGATCTCTTTTCCCAACTTACATCAACATACAGTATTTGTGAAAAAAATTAAAAATAGGTTCTGAGTATGATGCAAAAAATGCGCGAACGTCTGTCAAGAAAATTGAAGCCATCTCACCTTTACTCTTTTACTAAAAACGCTCTCTTCCCCGCAGCAACTTGTATCGAGATACCAACCAAGGCTTGGCCATCTCACCTCTATCTCTACTTGTTTGTATATTGGGAAATATGTTGGAGTCTACTATCATCATCGACGGACGTGACCACCTTCTTGGACGCCTTGCTTCCATTGTTGCAAAGGAATTGTTGGCTGGACAAAAGGTTGTTATCGTAAGATGCGAGGACATGGTTGTTTCTGGATCAAGTGAGTTATCTAAAACGAAGTTGGATGCAAACGCAACAGTGATCATGAGAATGAGATGAGATTAATTGAAAGAATGTAAAGAAAAATATAAGAGCAATGGTCGGACAACACTTGTTTGTGCTATCGAGAAAAGAGAAGTAGAAATCTGGAAGTGAAACGAGAGAAAAGAAAACAGAGAATGGTTATCTTGGCAGAAAGATGGAAATATTCCAAGATTACTACATCGTTCAAGGGAATTACTATCTACAAAGATTCAGCAGCGATATTGAAAGAAAGAATGGATTAATATCCAAGCGAAATCTCATCTCATGAACTTCTGGTCGTTCTTGCAAAATTCATGTCATGATCAATCATCTAACCGATTTTTCTCTTCACAGTTGTACGTAACCGTGTTAAATACGCACAGTTCCGTAAGAAGCGCATGAATACCAACCCAGGAAAGGGACCTTACCATTTCAAGTCCCCAGCTCGTATGGTATGGCGCACTATCCGCGGTATGGTTCACCAAAAGACTGCTCGTGGACAAGATGCACTTGCTCGTCTTTCCACTTTCGAGGGAATCCCACACCCATATGACAAGAAAAAGCGCGTTGTTGTTCCAGCTGCACTTAGAATTCTTAGACTCAAGTCCATCAGAGAACACACCGTACTTGGAGATCTTGCAAGCTCCGTAGGCTGGAAGCACCAAGAGCTTGTTAAGACTCTTGAGGATAAGAGAAGAGTGAATGCTGCTGCTTTCTACGAGCAAAAGAAGGCTGATGCTGCTCTTAGAGCAAAGGCTGAGGCTGCAGCAGAGAGTGATCTCGCAAAGGTAAATGAGGTTCTTGCTGCTAGTGGATACTAAATTTACAAATAAATAAAACAAACTTTGATAAATACCATGAGTGTTGTTTCATAGTGTGCCTAGCTAGAAGAATCCGAATTGTGCACTGTTCAAAACATTAGAACTGAGACTTCAACTTTATGCGATTTGGCTTTCTACAGAGAAGAGATTGTCCTAGTCTAGTGCTCTCTAGCGAAAAGAAATTGGAAAACGCTTAGTGAAAAAGGTAGCGGACAAAAAGATTGGAAGGAGCTTGCTGTGGGTACAACTGGTAAATTCAAAGTGAATTTATTTTACAAAGCTGCAATCAAAGTTGGTAAATATTTCACTGTCTTACCGCAAGGCAAGGATGTGCTTGGAATGCTTTTCTTCTCCAAAATCGAATTCAACTCTTTCTTCTTTGTTCTAAATTCAAACTCTAAAAAGCCAAGTTTTCTCCAATTCAAGACAAAGTCAGACCACCCAGCAAAGTTAGAGAATCACGCAACCACCCTTCTCACTCTTGTGCCAATCGTTTGGCTCCACATAAGTCGAAGAGAATGGCTCATCCTCCTTCTCGGAGTACTCCTTCAACTCGTCGAATCTCGACGAAAGTGGCTTGGCTTCCTTCAGAATCTCTAATTCATCCTTTGCCTCCTTTAGTTCCTGTTCAGCCTTTTTTACTTTTGCGCTTTCTTTCTTTTTGTCAGTCATGTTGATATTGATGTTGAGGTTAGAGTCCTGATCTTTGTGTTGTAAAGAATTTGTGAGAAAAAGTAAAAGAAGTGTTTTTGTTTTTTTTTTCAAATTAGGAGGTTTGATTTTGACAAACGATTTTGAATTTTTTTGTTACGATCAGAAACCAAAGGTTACTATAAACACTATTTGCCACATCACAGCGTGATAAAGACCAATCGATTGCCAACCAATGGAAATCCCAATACACCATGAAAAGGTCAGGCTACTACTGGAAAAGTTTCTACTCCACGATATTAGAAATGAAACTGCCTCAAGTGAAGTGAGTCATTGTTTCTATAACTTTGGAGCCAAAATCAAAGTAGTGGTAAAAGGGGACAAACTAGCAATGTATCTATACTTTACAGGATGGGACCATGTTCAAGATTCTGTCGTTAACTACTTGCAAAACTTGATTGGAGAAGAATCCGAATCGAAAGTATTAGTCGACAAAGAAGTACCTGAAAATTATTCTGTCTGTATTCTACTCCACAAGGAAGGCAAATATGGAAAATATTTTTGTCGTCAATTATCAGAAGTGCCCATGATCCTAGGAGCCAACTTGAAAATGGATTTTGATAATCTCCGAAATGGTGGTCAATCTTTACAATCTCACATTTATCAAATTCCACTGCAAAACAAACAATGTGCAGCAAGCATAACAGTTCAAGCTTATGAGGATCGTATCGTCTGCATATTGCCTTTTGTTTATCTACAAGGTCAAGAGACTGATTGCATCATTGCAAACACCATTCTCAAACAATTTCAACAAGCTCAACGCAACGCTCTATCACAAGGAAAGAATGTTCCGTTTTGCGATTACAGTAGATGGAACGATCCTCCAGCAGAACTCAAAGCCTTTACAGAGGACTATACGAGCGGTGGAAAGACCCATGCAGGATTCTTGAAATTTACATTTTTGCATCATCATCTTTCTTCAAAAGAAAAGGTTCGAAACTCAGTAGGGACCTTGCTGATGCTCAACACACTTGTCAATAAATCAGTCAAGGAGACAAAATCGAGACTCTCGGCAAGAATGAGAAAGAAGAAGGACGAACTTGAAAGTATGTTGTTTCAAGTTTGATTCGACTCAAGTTGCATTACATACAAAATCCTACTCTGGCACGAAACTTGAAAATATACAGCGTCTTTTCTGCTTCAAATGTTCATAGCCGCATCTCAGCTCACCTATTCATAGGATACGAAGTATAAGCCAAATGATATCCTTTTCTCATCTTCTCTATAATTCATCTAAAAGCTCAAAAGTTCGACTTCTACATAGATGCTGGAAGAATCAAAAGAGAAACATTTTACTCTTTCAATAAAAGATTAAACTCATTTACATAATTTAATTTTTTACTGTGCAAACTGAGCGCAAGTCTGACGACAAGTAGTTTTCATCCAACCCTTTTTACAAAGCTTAATCTTCTTTTTCTCCACCAAAGCCTTGAATTCGGTACAAGTGTATCTTTGATGTGGTAGAGGGAAGGTTAGAATTATAATTTTACACACTCTAGGATGGATCTTTTCACACTCTAGGATGGATCTTTTCTCTTTAGTGCTGATAAAAATAAGGTCAAAGTCTTTTCAAGTACCTCCAGTAGAGATTCAATTTCATTGGCATCAACTAATCCAGCACCCTCCTCATAGTTCCTAGTGCGCTTCTGTCCTTCTACCCAAGATGCAACATTCTGACGATGTTTCAACTTTCCAGCTTCGCCTAAAGATTCCCACACACTTGTAATTTTTGCCGAAAGGAAATCAACATCAAAGTCAATATCAAGGCCAATATCTTTAAAGAATAAATAATAGCAAATAGCTACTAAAACTTGTTCTCTTCGATGAGAAAAATGTGGTCCGACAGTAAGAAGATAATTCATTCGTCCCTTCCCCGTAGACATTATAGATTCCCTTTCAGTGCAACGAACTTTTCCGAGAAGTTCTCCAACGTTTTTAGTCCATGCTGCATTGTA